ATTTGTGCACAAATAAAGTCGGGTGACAGGTCTTGGACTTTTCCCGCTTTGTAGAGTCCAGTGGGAAGAAACCCCATGCAGTGACGTATACTGCAGCAGAAAGGGGTTGTCCAGGTGCTCAGCACGTTGTGTCTCAGAAGCTATGAAAAGTGTGTACAAAAATGAACACCGAACTACCACGTGACCACAAGTCGTCCGGTCAACTGCCGAGCGACCATACTGAGTGCTTAACTGTTTGAGTGATATCGAAGGGGGAGGGACATCTATGCATTGATTGGATATAAATAAAATTTTGTTTGGCCAGTAACAAATCTAATTTTGCTACTCTCAATTTTCCATAAGCACTGAAGAACTACTTTAAATGAAGTCATAAGCTACCAGTAGTTTGTGAGCTACTGGTAGGGGCATGCATTTTACCACCTGAAGAGGAGACTGAAGGGAGAAACCCCCCACCCCACACCCTGAAACAAACAAGAACTGAATGAAGCTGTGGTAAAAGCCTGGAACAGTTTGATGATGTTGATGGGTTGCAGGCTTGAAGCAGTCACTGCAAGCAAGGGCTATGCCACCAAATATTCTTTACTTTAGCTACTTAAGATCATTTMTTCCTTTACTTTTGCTCACCTACAAATGCTGTGGTGTAATACAAARGGTGATACATCCTAAGTTGTATCTACATGTATACCAGAAAACAAAAGCTGACATTTGGAACTCGTCTCATCTTCATCTTTTGATCTTAAACACAAATGTCTCCAGGGTCCAACCAAAACAAWGGAAATTGACTTGCTGTTCCAATACTTTTGGAGGGGACCGTACTTTAAATTACCTTGCTTCAAAATGTCCACTGAATATGTGTTAATTTAAAAAGAAAGTACCTGGCTCTTTCCCTCCATGATTTCCTTCAGCCTCTTCAGTGCAGTGCGAAGCTGCACAGCGGTCCGAGGGTCATGATTGCTCAGAGATGCCTCTGATTTTGTGGTACAATCTAAAAATCACACATACACACATATACACACACACACACACACACACACACAAACACTTGTAGAGCTACATTCATTGATTTCCTGAAAGTTTTATCAATACTCATCCTGTCATAATAAATGTAGACATTTATAAATGGCTTAAAAACTCAATACATGGCTTAATAAAATATTTCATGTGGCAAATTTAGTAAACAAACAACAAAAAATAATAACCAATTCATTTGATTATACAGTGCGATTTTAATTATTGTTTATCATTTTAACAGTATTAATTTAACATTATCAAAAATATTTCATTGTCCATTTCATTTCCAGTCATATTTTTCATATTTCATATCTTTATGATTGCAAGCAAGAAGGAAATTACTAAATGTTGGCTTTATCGTATTTTACTTTACTTTATTTTATTGCTATGTCTATAAATCATATTGGTAAACGAAGTGATTTTATTATTTACCCCAGCTCTTATATGTTCTTTTTTGTGTTGTGTTTTTTACGTAGAAATGAAAATAATAATAATAATAATAATAAAAAAATTAAGTTTAAAAATATATATGACTGGAAATAAAATGGACAATGAAATACAGTAATTGTGATTTATTGATCATGAAATCTCAATTAAAGGAAATTAAATTGTTAAATTATGGATAAAAATGATAAATCATAATTTAGGTCCCATGTATAATCAAACAAATTGGTTGTTTTTTTTATTGTTTGCTAAATTTGCCACATTAATTGTTTTATTAAGCCATGTATTTAGTTTTTCAAGGCATTTATATATTTCTACATTTATTTACAATTATGACAGGATTGGTCCTATATATTGGCAACTATCTTGTATAAGAATGATCCCAAAGGTTAATTAGTTGCAGAGGAACATTTAATAATTATTTCCACGGGAATTAAAAAGTATGGTAGAAATGAAAAATATATAGTGTAACATGTTCGTTCTGCAGCAGATAAGTCTCATTGGTACTGTGTGTGTTACCAGAAACAGAAGCGGTGCGTTTGTGTTGGTCAGAGTGCTGCTTCTGGTGTGTCCTCAGGCTGTGAACAGAGTGGGAAGGACTGGAGGACTTTCGGTTAGGGTGTGGAACATCCTTCTTCTCTGGAACAGTGGATACAGGACGGCCATCCTCTGCTCGAATAAAAACACAAAGAAAAGGTGACTGAGAAGAACACTGTGGGATGAAATACATCCATTATTCTGTAGTCAGTGTGCTAACCCTTAACTGAAGACTCTCATGATTGGGGAGAAACTGAAAAATACAGATTACTAAAATAAATTTTAATTATACATAGGCTGCTCTCATTTCTAKAGACTGGCATCAATATTTATCAATGTCTAACTGGGGCAGCTGAAGCATGGTACAGTGGTTTGCAAAAGTATTCATACCCCTTGAACTTTTCCATATTTTGTCACATTACAACCACAAACATAAATATATTTCACTGGAATTTAATGTGAAAGACCAATACAACCAATAATCATAGTACATTAGTTAATCATTCATTGCAATTAAGCATAATCATTCTTAGGTTACATATGTATTTTTGCCAGCATTAAAATTGATTAACTTCAAATCATTTCACTTCCTCCTTGTCGTCTCATCCTCTTCTCTTCTCAGCTTTCACCTCTTTTTCTGTGGCTCCTTTTTCAGTCATGTTCCCTCTTCTGTAGGAGATCAAGTGAGGACTCCCTAGGTCTGACACAAATTCTAGTGATGACCGGAGCTGTCGGGTCTCTTGACTTTCATCACTTCACCATCTGTGTCACAGGTTCATGTCTCCAAAATGAGCGTACGCATGGGTCAGAGATGGCGTGAGGCACCGC